ACAAATTATAAAAATGAATTAATCATAAATGAATAAACATATGGATATTAAAACTTACACTGGGTTATGAGTGTCATAATTATTATTATCATACTCTTCTTGAAAACACTTGCGGAAATTATTGTCATTATTTGTTGTGTTTTCGGTGGTCGTTAAAATAGAGTAGGTTTTGCCCTCGATGTCTACTAGTTCTATCTAGAACATTGCATAATGAGATGAAGTTATTGACGTACATATACTTTTATTCATAATTTAAATACTCACCAATGATGCTTCATCTTGTTGTTTTTCTCTGATTTCCGCCTATTTTCTCACTAGTATGAATCTTTCCCCTAATTTTGGTAAAAGTTTCGCAATGGTGTTAGAGTCGAGATACAGCAAAACTTCTGGGGTAATAGCTTCTTCTAAAATACCAAGCAGATGCTTAAATGTATCCCAGTCATTAAAAAAGAATTTCTATACTGTTATGAAGGGTTTCGCAACACCAAATAGTATAATGCTGGCCTCAAAGTCATATGTAAGACTTGAGTTTTAATGCTGACTTTTTTCAGTGTTCCCAGGCGATTCATCGTGATATTGGAACCACAACTGACGAAGTTACCAATGAATTATCCAAAAAAAACCCGGAAATTGGATTTTCTTCTTTAATTGGTATGGTTTACGATCATTTTTTTGATAAATGATATAGCATATACCGGAAAATCTCCGGTGGGCCGATCAGAGTTTGTGGGCCGATCTTTAGAATAACAGGATTATCAAAATACCTTCAAACCAAAGTCTAAGATCAAACGGACGGCCTCAATATTATGAAAGCACAAAAAATCGTCAATTCAACTTATGACAAGCTGGAAAAGGAACAACGCAATATGAAAGAAGTATGAAGTATACTAAAAATGTTTGACTATTGGGCAAATACAGAACTGGAAGCAAGTGAAATTGATGTAATAATTCAAGACTCATTGCTCGCGATTGGTTCTCAGGAAAAGAGACGATATAGGAACTGTTTTGCGGCAAGAATTATGGCAGAAAATGGTCTGAATCGAAAAGGACAGAGTTTTCCATCCAACGATGGAGATTAAGATAATTTAAATGACACAAGGTTGGATACAGGGAATGAATTAGAACTTTCTGAACAAAGTGTTTTCCACTTTTCAAAACTTGAAGACCTAAAAAATTGATTGAGGAAAGACCCGACTAACAATAGGAAATTTGGATGCGTTAGTTATAGTGAACTTGAATAAAGACATCTTAGGATTGTTTGAAAAGATTCTCATGGAAATTTTCAACCTAAACCCCACATTAAACAAAATATTATCATTTTGATGGTTTGAAATAAATATATCAAAGATGAGAGTTATTTTTTAATTTTTTATTATGTGTTTTCATTTAGCATTTATTGTTTTATCACTGTTGTTAATTTATAATTAGATCAGATTAGGTGTGTGGATGAGCCCCATAAATCCAGCAATGTATATGTGGCCGTTAGACAGATATTTGCCGGCCCACTTCCAAAAGTTCGTACAACCCTGTTTGCTTGAATTGATTTTTGTATTATATAGAAAATATTACCTTCATCAAATCCCCCCCATCGCGAAAAGCTATCTACGCCACTATGAGTAAAGGACTACAATTCCTGAAAATTTCAGGTCATTTGGATTTATAGTTTCAGAAATGAAATCGTGTTAAGCAATTTGTAGTGCATTTCAAGCAAATCACTAATCAGTATTTATTAACTTATTATTGTTCGATTGTTAGAGAAATTGTAACGGTCTTACTTGCTTAATCCGGTTCATGCAGATGAATCCACAAGGCGATTATTTATCCATTTATCACCACTATTCACACTGACAGCTAAGGAATTTTCCACTGAGATGAAAAGAAAACACAAGGATACAGGTGCGTTGGAGCCCGACGAGGGTGATTTATCAATTTTTCAATCTTTCTGAGTGCCTTTTTTCATAGAATCCCTCAAATCTCAGAATAATTTAGTGTATGGAGTCTGGGGGGGGGGGGGTCCGAAGGGACCATTAAGACACAAAATCTCAACAAAAAAAAACTGAGGTTATAATTTAGATTTTGTAAAACTTTTTTTCTATTATGATAGAAAGCTGAAATTTTCAGCGATTCTTATTCCAGTAGAGGACTACAATACCTGGAAATTTCAGCTATTTACTCTTATAGTTCCAGAAATAAAATTGTGTTAAGCATCTTGGGGTGGTTTATCAATTTTTCAATTTTTCTGGGTGCCTTTTTTCATAGAATCCGGCTCCAAATCTCAGAATAATTTAGTGTATGGAATTTAGAGCATCCTAGAGGACCATTAAGACACAAAATCTCAACAATTTTTTTTTAAATTTCATCGTTTTAAGACTGAGATAGCTATCCTTTGATTTAGATTTTATCAAACTTTGGAAGGTCATAACTTTTTCCTATTATACATCGATAGAAAGCTGAAATTTTTTAGCGATTTTTAATCTAGTAGAGGACTTCAGCTCATTTGGACTTATACTTCCAGAAAAAAAAATCGTGTTAAGCAATTTAGGATGATTTATCAATTTTTCAATATTTCTGAGTGCCTCTTTTCATGAAATACGGCTCCAAAACTCAGACTAATTTAGAGTATGGATTTTGAGGGGTCCCAAAATATGCCAAAATTTGCTTCAAATTGGGTTTTTATTTTTTTTCTGATGATTTTTGGGTCAATCAACAGGTTTGTAGTGTAGACAATTCAATGGGCTTCAATTAGAGCCTAATTGCGTCGAAATCGGATAAAAATTAAAGGAGCTGTGAGATAAAAACTGGCTCAGTGTCAGTTTTGGAATATTTTCAATGTTCCATAAATTCAATTTTGAAGCTTCTCAGCTGTAAAACTGTTGGAACTAAATTGAAATCTCAATTAACAGGTTTGTAGAGAATTTAATTGAAATGGGATGAAAATTAATTGTTTCGGAAAACTAGATTCCAAGTACCAAGTAGGTACTAATTCCAATCTTACATTGATCTACAGTACCTAAGTAGTTTTTGATCTACAGTTTGAGGTTTTCAAAAAAGACATTTTAGGCTCATCGGTTCAAAAACAACAAGAAATAGTTATGTAAATGCTTGTATTTATTAATTCCTAAGTACTTTCTGGATCGTTATACCTACGTAACACTTAAGATTATCATCCCTGCAACCTTTCACTCCGGTGTAAATAAAACTTTAACTTGCAATACAAATTACTTAGTTCTTTTATTTACCAAAATTAATTAACGCTTTTTTTATGTATCGAGTTAACTAGGTCTGTATAAGTAAGTATATGAGGCGGATTTATAAAAGAATTGTTTCCGTGCATCCATTACAAAACCATATTGAAGGACATGCTTGGAATATATTGGTGTATATTTATTTTAACCTGGATTTGTTGTTCATACAAGAGGATTTCCTTGAATAATTATTGTTATTGAATCGCACACAGTGCGGTGGAAAATCGTGCTGAAAACGCAAATAAAATCGAAAACGACATTGACCAGATTATCTTATTGGCGACCCGAAAACCTTGATTTGGATTTCGTGCAAATGGTTTTAATAACATCTCCAATTAACTTTAAAAGTTTAGTTTTTGATTCAAAATTTTCCTTATTGAAACTAGTTTATTGGAATTTGTTTTTTAAGTAGCAAATTATTTGATTATTATAAAGCGTTTCTGTATAATCATTGTAATCCTTTATATGGTATAATATGGTCGGGACAAGGACTTACCAGTAGTCAGCTGGTCGATGTCGAGGTGAATCATATAAATAATTTAAGTGTAGCAATAATATAAGCACGTTGGATTGTTTGTTTTTCAAGTTTATTGTCGTCCAATTTTTGCAATCAAGAAATTCTGAGTAAAATAATTGCTTGTGAATGTATGATTTTATAGGTTTTGTCATGATTGATCTAGAAATTTTCAACATTTTTGTTTCAATTTGCTTTCTTTTGAGTCGTCTTAAGAAGTTTCAAAACTGGGGATCGAAAGGCAATTACTTTTAAGATAAATACCAAAGGTACCTACCTAGTCTTTATATTGAAGCCTTTGAAGATTTCAGAGGAGTAAAAAACACTTTCCAATACCCTTAGGTGAGGTTTTAAAGACTTTATCTTATAAGGTTCAAGACTAAAGAACTTTAAAGATTCAAAATTGTAGAGGTTTATAATTTCAAAGGCTCTGCAGATTCATTTTAGAATGAAGGCTGTAAAGACTCATTGCATAAAGGACACGAACTTTTGAAAATTCTAGATACGGCGAAAAATTTAAAGACCCAAGACTACGACTTTCTTATATTAAATCCCTTGAAGCCTTCGAAAAGCTTCTCAATTTGAAGATTCTCGAACGCAGAAGTAAAGCGTTAAAATTCAAAACCTTGAAGGCTTTATAGAGTCTCAGTATAGGTACAAGATAAAGAGTCTCTGCCCAGATACCTAAAGAAAGCCTTTGACTAATGTTATATTAAAGACACTGAAATACATATTTGAAGATTCTAAAGGCTCTTGATTTGAAGTTTTTGAAACTCTAAAGATTCAGAAGCGTCTTGAAGATTTATGACTTAAAATTAGACTCTCTAAAGACGCAACTCTACCCAAAAGATTTTAGAAAGAATCAAGATCTATTCTGCTGATTAATGACTTTGTCCCTTTACCAGATTCCTAAGACGCTGAAAAATGGTTCATCAAAGTTTCTGAGGATCTTGATTTGAAGTTGTTAAAGATAAGTCCCTTATAAGATTATTGAAACTTGGCGTCCTATTTTGAAGTTCGAGACCAAAGATTTTTGAAAAACTACATTGAAGACTAGAGAACTTGAGACTTTGCCAATTTGAGACTTGAGACTTTTTAGGATTCTAAAGATGCTGAAAAATTGAATGAAAGACTTTAAAGTCTGATGAATCTAACTAAAGAATTTCAACAGCACTTTGAAGAAAATTATTAGGGGTATTTATTCCCAAACATTTTGGGGTTCGCTCATTCTCGTCTCCTCTTTCAACCTCCTCAAATCTATTCTGGGTGAAAGGGGGGAGCGATCCTGCTGCCCGGTAAGGAGCCCAACGTAAGCTGATAGTACCACGTCCAAGTCGAGCTCCTTAGTCGCTTTTAAACCGCGTTGCGTGTACCGGCGTAATATTTATATACGTTTTACGTTTTCTTCAGGTAAGACAAATTATAGTTTTAAGCCATTAAAAATAAATCAATAACAATAATTATTTGCTATAAAAAAAACTAAGACATAACAAAAAAAACTATCTCTTGAAATCTTAATAGTTTCGTTGTTTCGATGCCTTGATCTTAATTTCATAAATAGATCATCCTGCTGAAAAGGTCTTTTGTTTATTTTCAAAGTCTAAATTTAAAGTACTGTTTCCTATTAACAATTTTCATTTATTATAAACAAACAAATGTAACACACAAACAACTTTGGCATAGTTTTTGTAGAATAATAACATAAATCTGAGTATAGATTATGTAATGACATAGAAAGTTAATTTTAAATATATCCAATTTTTAAGATTGTTAAGTAATAACTGATAACATCCCATTGCTGTTCGATGTAGTGTCCTGAAGATGCAATAATAATAAATTTGGGAAACGTCGACAATTTGAAATAACAAAACCAAAATTTAAATTTCTAAATACATAGGTATTCCTTCTAATAGAGTGAAATCCTTCTGAAGAAAATCCTATATACCAGTCAAGCATGATGGTGAAACTAGTTTTCTAAAAATTCTTTATTAAATTCCAGTGCCCATCATCATCGGGTCATTTAACCATTATCACATTCACTCTGGCATGCACCTATTTGCAATTTTGCAACTAGTTTTTGCACCATTTAAAACTAATGATTCAAATTTATAGAATAAATAATAGCGCCTGGATTATACCTGTTACCTGTTAGCATAAGAAATAGTGCATTTCTGGCATTTATAATGTTATTATGATGGGTATTTATTCTTAAAAGGGTCTCATTACCATCTGTTGTTTAATCTTGACCCAGTGAAAACGATTATTGCTTTTTTTTATTTCTTGCAAATTCACTTTTCGGTTCACCTTGTACTCGAACCGAAATTTATGGTCGGTTTTTAATTGGTTCAAAGATTATTCAACATTCCTTAAGGAAATCGCAAAATCATCCTTGATCAATTTCAGAGTACTAAGAAAAAAACTCAGCAGCCATGGACGCGATCAAGAAGAAGATGCAAGCGATGAAGCTTGAAAAAGACAACGCGTTGGATCGCGCTACCTACAACGAACAATTGGCCAAAGATGCCAATCTTCGTGCCGAAAAGGTATTATAAGCAAAAAAACTTCCTCAACATGAAATTAAATCATTTTTTTTCTATTATAGGCCGAAGAAGAAGCACGTCAACTCCAAAAGAAGATTCAGACCATTGAAAATGATCTTGACCAAACCCAAGAACAACTTACCCAAGTTTTGGGAAAATTGGAAGAAAAAGAAAAAGCCTTCCAAAACGTAAGTAATTATTTTTTTTTTATTGTATAAATAAAGCATCTAAATCAATTACGATCGTATTACAAGATCTAAAAATACTTGAGGCCATATTTGGCCCGCGCGCCTGCTATTCCTGCCCTCCTGTGACGTCACGCAGTTTTTAACTCGACGTCAGCATATCCTTGCCAAACCGGGAATCCGGTTGCACCAATAGGCAACCCAATATACATCTACATAAAGAAATACAATACACTGTTGCCACTACTTTGTGTAAATGTTTAATTAATAACAATTGTTGCAACATTATTCTAATAATAATTCAATTGTTTTTTGTTAATTGTTTAATTATAATTGGTTGTTAATTATTTTAAAAAATTGACTCATATTTTAGTGAAAGTTTTATTAAACAATTTTAAATTTGGCAACATCGTTTAGTAAATTCAATTCTCGTTGTCAAATGTCAGAATCAGTAGTGCCAAAATGGCCGTCAAGTGAAGTGTGTGTTAACGTCGCGTCCGCAAAAAAAATGTCAACAAATCGCCCCCCAGGGCTCCGGAAAAAACGGGGCCATCAACATCATCCCCGTAACGAAGGTACCAGACGCAAGCCTTTACTAGAACCAATCGTTTCATCACCGTTAAGTCCTTACAGTACAGAAAATGTGTTGACAAGTCAAAAAGAGCAAGTAGTGCAAACCAAAACATTAGAAATCGGAGCTGAAAAAATTAATGCGGGGGGCGACAGCGTTATAGAAGTACCTTGTGATATTCCCGTGATAGATTTAACCCAATGTGATGATGATTTAGTAGTAGTTAAGCCCGACAACTTAGTTAGTAGTAACGTAGTTCCCAAAAGTACGAAAAACGACAAAAACCAGCGATTGAAAAAGTCTAGGAAAAGCAAATCGAAACATGAATCGAGCCCCCACGAAGATATGTCGATGGTGCAAAGGCAGGAGGCCGAAGGCTCCAGTTTGAGCGATCAAGAAACAGAAAAGGCCGATCTAGATCCAGAAATTGAAGAGCTGGCAAAGCTACGCTGTACGTCCGAAAGGACTGAAGTGTTAGCTGAAAAAGAAATGAGAAAAAGGGGCCGTAGATGTGCTGATTATCCAGGCCTCGCTTTTAGTTCAATATTCAGTTCTGACACCTTGATGAAGTTCAGCATTATCCGGAATGAAATACAGAATATTATGAATACGCAGCTCAAGAGGGTAGGTTTTTTTTTTTTTTGAAATGTAAAAATAAAATGTGCAGTGTCATGCTACAGTATTCATCCAGTGAATGTTTACAAGGCAATTTAAAAATAGACTGGAAACGTTTGAAAAACAAACTACAGGATCTGGTTAATTTTCCTTTAAATATTTATTACGTAGTAGCTAAATTTATTGCTTGTAATTATTTAATGAAGAAAGCTACTATGTAGGTAGATACTTTTATTTTATTTTAATTAAAAATATTGATTCTCCTCAGTCTCAAGTGACTTAATTAATCCCTATTGCTAAATCTGAAACCCTATCAAGTAGAATATTTTTTTATCTTGTTATGGCTTAACTTAATTGGGTTTTATCTTGTGTGGTAAATAATCAAAATACCAAATGAATGAGGTCACATTCTTAACTGAGAGTTATGCAAATTTATTAGGATGAGTGCAAAACCTTGTTGAACTAAAAAGCTGCTTCCCTTCATGTATTCCAAATTAGGATTTTTATTTTATGAAGAAAATTCTATTGACGAAATTGCAAAGAAAAAGTGATTGCAACAACAAGAATGATTGATTAATAAAAATTGCAAGTAGGGCATCAGACACTTCAAAGCAATATACTTGAGAATACCATTTTTGGACAAAACCAATAAGGTTAAATCGCAATAATATAAGAAATTCCTACCATATGTTTGGGTTAATCGATATTTTGGCCAAAACAACTCAAAATACAATTTAAATTATGACCTAATCAAAATTTTCCATGTTTCGCCTTATCATCAATAATTAATTAATTAATGATGCTTCTTTTATACCAAACGCAGTAGTAAAGTCAAATGTTGGCCTACATTAAAACCCTAATTGGCATTCTGCCTAGCCTGAGATGAAGCAGCCCATAAAAAAAAATTATACTGTTCATGGACATATGGTTTTTATTTTATTAGACCATAAATGTTATTTTTCTCGGCGGTAAAATAGAAATTATTCGGTTTTTCTTTTAGAACAGATGTCAATTAGAAAATGAGTAATTTCTTTTAGATTGTGTGGCATCCGTTTCGGATTGACAAGAAGAGCCCATTTGAAATTTGAATTTGGAGCCTCGCCTGCTGACGTCATTATTTACAGTGTTGTCAATGTTGTTCGCAACTTGTTCCTAGACTTGATTTACACATTGTTGACAAAAAATCTATTGGATGATTTTCTTTGAGAAACCTGGTTTATAATGAAATTAACTAAGTATTATGTATCTAAAATCTTTACAGGTTTCATTAAAAATGTACAAGAAGTTCTGTATATTTTGAAACCATATAGCTCAGGGTCAGTTAAGTTAGCTCCCCCCACTGTATTTCTAAATGAAACATATCAACATAATTTTGCTCCACCAATTTTAATTTTTGCTCCACAACAGTGGACAGACTATGTGGCCTATTATGTGAGAGGGGGTCAAAGTAACGCTAGCCCTCCCCCCCCCCCCAGTAAAAATTTCGAAATTGTTTTATGCTCATTTTATTCTCCAAGTTTTGCTCCATTACTTGGAATGAGTTGCAAACCTCCCAAGAATCTCTCCCAGTGGAAACTTCGATGTTTTTTTATACTCATTTTATTCTCCAAGTTTTACTCCATTCTACTCCATGATCAGTGAGTTTTGCTACATTACCTGGAATGAGTTCTCCCAAAAATCTCTTCTATACCATTTCCAGAATTATTTCACACTAGTGAAATTTGATTTCAAATAATGAAAACTAAATTCACATCAGTGAAATCTAATTTCGCTCAAATGAAAATTGATTTCAAAGTAACGAAAACTAATTTCTCACAAACGAAATTTGATTTCACATTTGTGAAAATGAATTTCAAACTGACCCTAATTAATACTCATTTTTGAAACATTTATTATTTTAGTTTGAAAAAAACATCAAGAAATCTTATTTATTTCACCGTAATGAAATAAACCCACTGAGTTCACATAAAGTAAAATACAATGAAGGGGGTGATTCGTCGGTTAGGACATATAAAACTTAAAAGGCCTGTTAAGTCTTTGCCAACGTTTTGCCCAAAAGTTTAGGGCTTCATCAGGGCCTAAGTATATATTAGGAACATCAAAAAAGTGCTAACAAAAAACTGAAGTTTACATGCCTTGTACTTAAAAAATTATGTGGCTAGACTATATAAAATAGTGCGAGATTTTTCAGGATGGAACATTCAAGTGCACATAACCAAATCACAATACTATGATAAAATTGTAAAAAGGCAAATTTTTTAATATTTTTTTTGTCTTAAGCGACGAATCACCCCTTTCATTGGATACCGATAGGACACAAACTTCCCTTAGAAAAAATACAATCATGAAGCAATTAACAATAATAATTATAAATTATTTAAATAAATTGAACTTCAGTTGAATCTTCTCACTCTTGAGATAGCTGCATTATACCTTTCCACGTGATTTGCCAAACTGAAGTTTAATTTATTTAAATAATTCATACTTATTTCATGATTGTATTTTATGTTATCTAAACAACAGTTTCCTAAACTCAGTGGGTTTATTTCATTAGGCTGAAATAATAAATGTTTGAAAAATAAGTATTAATTAGGGTCAGTTTGAAATTCATTTTCAAAAATGTGCAATCAAATTTCGTTAGTGAGAAATTAGTTTTCGTTACTTTGAAATCAATTTTCATTTGAGCGAAATTAGATTTCACTGATGTGAATTTAGTTTTCATTAATTTGAAATCAAATTTCACTAGGGTGAAATAATGCTGGAAATGGTATAGTCCCCCCCCCCCCAGTGAAAAATCCGAAATTTTTTTATGCTTATTTTATTCTCCAAATTTTGCTTCATTTTACTCCATGATCGGCGAGCTTTGCTCGATTACCTGGAATGAGAGAAAATTTATTTTCAATTTCTTTAAAGGAAGTTAAGTTATTAAAATCCAAAAATCCTAAAATTAGAGTCCAAAGTAAACACTTATAATAAGAGTAAACACTTAAATCCAAACTAAAACCAGGTTTGAAACGCAACACCGAAACACAAAGACACAGAACACTACATAAATAACCCAAAAAACGATTGCGATAATAACAATATATATATATATATATATATATAATAGATCTTTATTGAACGAATACAGTTCAAAAGGCCATTGACCAAGGTCCTTCAGCCTATGAGTTTACAAAAATCATGGATATAAAATATCTTTGTTCACAATATTAGGTATTTGTTACAAAAAAAAAAAAAAAAAATATATGAAAAACGACACAATAATACTTATAGCAAATATGCCCGCAAATATGTTTAGTTAGTTTTCGGATAGTTTTTCCCATATTGTTCTCTCAGGGTGTTGGTATCTTGCTCTTTCTGGTAGTCTTCTGATGGAGTATGGTTCAATTTTGGCTATATTGTCTGGCTTCTGCTTGAACTTTTGATTGAGTTGACTAATGCGTTGCTGAATTGGAAGTATGTGTGTTGTCAGATACAGAAGCTGGTTAGGCGGATTGTGCAGTGGATTGTTGGGATGTCTTAGTTTTGTGACAGCTCGAAGAGAAGATGTTTCTGCAACCTGTAAATTCTTCCATGCCGATGTTTTGAGGTTTTGGAAGATTACATGTCCGTATTCAATAAGTGGGCGACAAATCATTTTGTAGATTCTACATTTTGTATGCAATTTTATTCCGTCATTCTTCCATGATAAGCATTTAAAGTGCCTGGCTCTGGCTATAGTCTTTCTCTTGGTTTCTTGTGTATGTTTATTGAAATTAATTTTGTTGTCTAAACGGATTCCTAAATATTTAATGGATTGCTGTGGATGTAATTG